AACTGGAATGCGACAACCACATCGTGCGGACAAGGGAACTTTGAGGTCAAATTACAGTGCCGAAGACACACTGCAAGGTCGCAATCACAAAGGTAACCAAAAGGGTCCGCAACTCCAAACAGAGATTGGCAATGCACTCCCAGTATATCTGTGCTTCGCTGTCTCGGGGGCGGCCTGGCAGTGTGCACAGACCCTGGGAGTGGCGCCCCTACTTCGAGCACCCTGGCTACTTCGGGGGTGACTTCGGCGACTGCTGCCAGGGGGTCATCACCTCTTGAAACTTGCAAGAAATATGGCGGGAGCCAGTCCACAAGAAGCCTTCAACAAGAAACCCAACCCTGAGACCCTAGGACGTCCCTTGACTTGTCGCGTGGGAACGTCACGCTCTCCATCGCACAACCATCAAATCCCCAAAATAAAACAAGGGCACCCTGGAGGCAAGCAGGGTGTTTCTTGGCATGAGCCTCCACCGTACGCAAAACTTCCTGAATTCCTGAATGCAGCGGCTTCGGCGTAGGGGTAAGTTCCGGACGTGACCCTGACGACTCCGCTGGGAGGCCAGCGTTAAACTTTAGGTCGGGCGCGTCCCCCTACAGACGGATTTTGGGGAAAAATCAAAAATAGTCCAAACATATGCGAAACATGCTCAACAACAGAAAAACGTCCGCATCCTACTTTTTGACTATTTCTGAATACTTCTTCTGAGGAGGGACAGGCCCGAGTTAAACGGGTCAAAGTTTACTTGGCTCGGGAGCTCCCGAGCGAAGTGAACCCTACCCCCCCAGAAATCAAGAGGGGTAGGGGTAGGGTTCGCACGTGGCCCCCTACGCAAGGCGCACCCACCTCCAACGGAACGGGACGCCGCAAGCACGCCTGGCGTGGGGCGTGCTGTGCGCGTGTGCTCCGCGCGCGTCCCGTGTGCGCCGTGCGTGCCGCACGTGCTGCACGCGCTGCACGCCGTGTGCCGCGCGCGCGTGCGCGTGCGCGCGGCCAAGGTGGCCTACCGCTCCTGTGCGCGAGCCACGGCCTTCTCCGGGGTCCGGCCCCTCGGCACAAGCTGCTGAGTAGTGGCTGGTCTGCTCGGCCCGCGGCCTGTTGGCAATCGAAGAGCCCCTCGCCAAGACGTCCAACACCTGATGTGCGCGCATGTGTGTGTGCGGGAGTCCTCTCTTCCTGTAGCACCGGGGCTCCTCCTCTTCCTCCGTGCATAGCGTATTAATATGCATGCAGCGTGTCCCTTGTTGCGAATCCGCCAGAGCAGCCACCGTCTGCCCAGCCGCTGACGCAAAAAATGTGCGTGTGCGAGTGAGGGTGTCTGCGTTCGTGCCTGCGCCTGTGTGCGCGGTGTGCTTTGCACGCGCTATCACACAGGGCTAATCCTGAGCGCCGTTTTTCGTTATATGTTCGTTTTGTTGTTCGTTTTGCTCTAATTACTTTTCTGCATATCCCTGCCAAAACGAACAACAAAACACAACCGAAGGAAGTCCAGCAAAACAGCGATCAGTTCGAGCCCTGCCATCACACAAGGTGGTCAGTTTGCCTTGTTCGCATCCTTCCCTCGCTAACGTTGCCTGCTGAATGTCGACACCAGCGCATTTCGCATTCGCATTCGCATTCTCATCGGGACATGGTCCTTGCCTCTTCGGGCCAGAGCGTGGATGTCACACCACTCGTTGCGCATGCGTGCTGGAGAAAGCAAATGTCAGACAGCACTAGCGAACTTCCCTGCTGGAAAGGGTTCCGGCGCCAGTGTCGGTTGGCGTCGCGTTGGCAGGTGTCTTGGTCGTCTTTTTCGGGTGCTGGGCTCCCGTCGATGAGATGAAGTCGGACTCCATGCTCATCCAGGTGGTTGTGCGGGAGGCTACGTGGATCCACGCAATACCATTCATGGCGTCACTCAAACAGTCGTTCGTGCGCGTGGTCATAATCCGCTGTCGGATGCAGTCGCGCATTTCGTCCTCCCACCGTTTCGGTCGTCGACCTTGTTGGCGCTGTCCTCGTTATCCCGCAACGAGACCATGATGTCAGTGAGCAACTTGTTGAGTTCATCGGGCGGCGCTGTGACGGGCTTTTGCGTGGGCCTCTCCACAGTCGTCGCTGTTCTGTGACCCATGGCTCCATGTCGTGTAGGTCCATCAAATAACTCGCCGCGTGTTGTGCGGCGGATGAAATCGAGCCATGGCTTGGCAAGGTCGTCAGCGATCAGGCTGGTCAGATCGACCGCCTCGGGGGGTTCGGCTTCTTCGGGGTTGCTGCCGACGTCGTCGTCAGAGGACGCGGTGGTAGATGAACTGGTGGTCGTTGAAGTAGAAGCCGCGGAGGCGGCGGAAGTGCTGTCCGAGAAATGGTTCGGCGAAGTGGTTGTAGCCTGCGCAATGCGCTCGACGTGGTGGTTATTCCGGCGTCGTGGCGCGTTGATGATCATTATGATAATTTTCGTTGCGTGGTGTTGAGCTGTCGATATGGACTCCGTGAGTGCCCACGTGCCCCCTCAATAGAACGCCGTCGGAGTCACAGTGGCGTCGAAGTGCTTGAGTCGGCGCTTCAGTCGGCAGCCGTTGCTCGTGAGCTCCTGCCGGAGGTGTGTGAATGCGGCCCATTCGCATTTGATCCGGTGCTGCAGTTCCACTGCCAGTGGCTCGTTGAATGCGATGGTCTGACCGAGGTATTTGACCGTCGCGCGGTAAAATCTCACTTTGCATGCTGCGCGCGCTGACTGATCGCGCATGCTCGGCCTGTGCATTTGGTCAAGTTGGTTCGAGCCCGTGGGCCGCGGCTGCAGAAACGACGTCGGCGAGCATCTCGGCGAGTCGTGGCAGGGTCGGGGCCATCAGTGGCACGTCGTCTGCGAATCGCAGATTGGTGAGAATACTGGAGCTGGCGTCGCTGAGTTGGACGCCGCGATGGGCGCCCCGCCATTGTCGCCAATGGTGCCATGATGTGTTGCAGCACGGCGCTGGAGAGCAGGGAGCTGAGAGGACCTCCCTGTTCCGTCCCGCGGTAGACGGAGAATGGCCAGCTGTCAACGTCAGCGCGCACTGCGGCCGCCTGGTCGCGGAAAAGCTGTCGCAGTATGGCGACGCACCCTGGTTCGATGCCCTGGGCGAGCAAAGATTGACAGATGCTGCCGTGCTGGGCCGAGTCGAAGGCTTTCTTGAAATCGAGATCTGACACCCATAGACTCTGTTGCCACTCGTGTACCCGTCGTTGTAGAAGGTCCGTCGTTGAATGTCCGGGCTGGAAGCCTGCCTGATCAGGTCTGGTGGGCGTCGAGCATGGGCTGGAGCCGGTTGCACAGTAATGGACTGCACAGCTTGTAAAGCGTAGATGTGCTACATATCGGTCGGTAGTTGTTTGGAAGCGTGGCCCCCGGATTTGTCGGGGATGGACAGACCCCCCTTTAGCAAAACGTGGTTTAGTGACAACGACCTGAGGCCCAAACCTGGCGGGCGCAAGCCTGGAAAATAACGGCCACGGCGCCCTCTCGAGAACCGAAAACGGACAACTCACTAATCGACGTGTCACTGTTGGGGGTTCTGTCCACCCCCGAATTTGGGAATGACGGTAACGATAATCTGTCGCCACATCTCTGGAGTCGGAGCTGCCGGCAACCGCGCGGCGCTGCGCGGGTGGAGAAGGGCTGCCTCGAGATCGCCGCAGGAACCTTTTGAGCACCTCTGCGCGGATGCCTCTGCTGTTGGGAGCTCTCCTTTCCTCAGATGTGCGGCGGCCTTGTCAAGCTCTTCGCTGGTGAAAGGCTGCACGGGTGGGTGCGAGACTGCTGTCGCGGCGATTGCTTGGTCGAGCGGCAAAGGGTCGCGTGAAATCGGCGAACGCGTTCGCGATCCGCTCTCCTGCGGTGCATATGCACGGCCGCGTCTGTCGGTCATCTGCGCGACCAGGCGTCGTCTTCTGCGCGCCTTGATTTGCGCGATCGTCTTGAGGCCAAGGAGATTGGCAAGAATTGTGGAGACGTATTCGCGCCTGGTGCTGCTTCGAGTTACTGGAATGGTGCCTGGGGGGTTTGTGGTTAGTGCTCTCTGCCTGCGTAGTTATAAATTCTCCAAATTAATCAAAGATATAGTTGCGTTGACAGGGCCATCGCCATGGCATAACATTGCGTTGGCCTTCAAGGAGCGCCGCGGCACTGCTAGGGCAGTCTAATGGCTCCACCCTTACTGAGAACCTGCATCGGGAGAACGGAAGCCAAAGTGTTGCCGTTTTGTTTCGTTGTCAAAAATGTCGAACGAAGTGAATCGAAATCGGTCGTTTTATTTTGGGGCGCCTTGTCCTGATAATCGCACGCGCACCGCGACGTCGCCGCGATGGTCGGGCTCATCGGGCCACGCTAGACCAGGGCACCGAGCAAACGAGCGAGCTCAGAGCCCGTTCTACATAAGCCGCGCCAGTTTAAACCATTACTGACCACGTTGCAGGTGCGACCTGCGCGTTGCATGCACAATGAGTCGCCGACGTTCGTGCGGAATGGAAGCCTCCTCCCCCTCCTCCTCCTCCTCCTCCTCCTCCTCCTCCTCCTCCTCCTAATCCCTCCTCCTCCCCGTCCTCCTCCTCCTTCTCCCTCCCTACCCCTCCTCTCCTCCTACTCCTCCTCCTCCTCCTCCTCCCTCGCTCCCTCCCTCCCTCCCTCCCTCCCTCCTCCCTCCCCTCCTCCTCCTCCCATCCTCCTCCTCCCCCTCCCTCTCCTCCCCCTCCCTCTCCTCCTCCCTCCTCCTCCTCCTCCTCCTCCTCCTCCTCCTCCTCCTCCTCCTCCTCCTCCTCCTCCTCCACGGGCCCGTCGCACCGTCCAGCCAGCTCGGCTGCGGCCACTCGCCGCCGCGCGCCCGAGGCGAGGCGGGGGAGCGGGGCATCCAGCATAGCCGGTTTGGCTCAGGCTCGATTCGTTTTGCTAAGTGCATATCTTGCCACGGGTGCCTCCGAGGAAAGTAGCTTCACACTCTTCATAATGGCCCCCACGAGGACCGCGGAGCAGCGATCTGCAGGTCAGAGCAGGCAGGCAGCCCTGACCTCGGTTCGGGCGGATACGACGATGGTCAAGGAGGTCTTGAAGGTGCACGGCGAACCCGCAGTGGCGTTGTGCAAAGAGGGTGCTCTCCAAGCATGGATTCATCAGCCCTGATGGCACCATCGCTGCCCCATCCGCCCCGCTGGTGGCTCCGCAGACGACCCCGGCCACTGCGAACACTGCCGCCGCCGACCCGTGGAAGGTGGGCTTGGGCCGTACGTGGGGCGCGTGCTCGGCTACTCGGCCCCGCGCGCTCGTGTCTGCCGTCGACGGGGCGGGCATGAGCGAGGCAAACGTGAAGTCGTGAAGTAAGAAACACGCAACCAGGAGCCACCAAAGCCCGTCCTGCCCCTTCGCTTCGAGTCCTTTTTCGTTCTTGATGTTACCTCGGCGATGCCAGAGTTCGGGAGCGAGGACCATATGATTCAGTACCTGAGCAACAGGTTCATCAAATATGGGCAGAGGGCGAAGCAGATTGCCATGCCCATCGAGTTCGGCAAGAACGGGGTCTACGATCTCAGTCACGATGGCGGTTGCTGGCACATCGCCCACACCTCTTCGGGGGCCATCGCAGACCTGGTGCGCATCGACGACGTCGCGGGTACCAAGCAGCTGTACACCGGACTCACTTCTATAGCGCTCACTTCTATAGTGCTCACTTTGAAATTATGGTCCGGAAGGGGCCGCACATGCAGGCACATGCCGCACAGTCGCATGCACATGTCCATGCAAATATGCAAAAGCCTCAACAGCATTGCCGCACATGCGCGCACATGCCACACCGTCCGACGCAGTCGAATGCACGGTCAAGCAAAACTCTGAAAGCATGGACGCACATGCCCGCACATGCCGCAGAGATGTCGCAGGCGATAGTGCCATGACCACCTGAGCTCGGGGCGTTTCGCAACCCAGAGTTGCGAGGATGTCTCAGGCAAGCGTGGCTGGACCACCATGGGGCAGGGCATCTCGGAACCCAGAGTTGAGAGGGTCTCAGGCGAAAAAGGCCGAGACACTATGGAGCAGGGCATCATTGAGGTCAGAGTTGCGAGGATGTCTCAGGCGAAAATGGCCTGAACACCTCAACTCAGGGCATCTCGGGCGAGGATGTCTAAAGCGAAAGTGGTCTAACCACCTCAGCTCAGGGCGTCTCGGAACCCAGAGTTCCGAGGATGTCTCAGGCGAAAGGGGCCGAGACACTATCGCGCAGGGCATCATTGAGATCAGGGTTGCGAGGATGTCTCAGGCGACAGTGGCTGACCACCTCAGC